CCCCCTTGTTATGTTTGAGCGCATGCAACCATTTATCCAGAAGTTTAACGATGCAGGTATCATTGCAGTTGGTAGCGACTGCGTTAGGCATAATTTATTCTACTGTGGCAGTTGTTAGTGGCACATTTTCCTTGCGCAAGTGTGACGCCACGATAGCGAGCGTCGCTCGCTACATGCATGATACGAATCATGTGATTACGAAAGTGGTTTCTTCGCGGCCATTATAATCAAACCTTCTAACGTGACTTTCAACCAATCATATCAAACCTGCAAGGCTCAACCAAACCTTCCTGCTTTTTGGGGAAGGTTTGTCTTGAAAAGGACGGGGGAGGTACTGAAATCTACCTTCTAATCGTGACAACCACTAATATAGCGAAAGCGCGAGAGCTTCCTCGACGGGTTTAGCGACCGAAGAAGTCAGAATTGCAACCTCACACCGCTACTGAATCACACAACGTGATTATTTTACTTCTCACATTGTCGATGTATCTAATTGTACAAAAGGGGCCTTGATTTGGAGATGGTGGTGCTACGATGGAGAGATCGCTCACATGGATTCATAAATTTGTTTTGTTTGGGGGTTGATAATGCTGTTTGAGTGGAGTCTTAAACCGAGAAGTTTAAGACACGCTAGTTTCTCGACGCACTGGTACATCAACTGGTCTTTGGAACAAATAAACGGGAGTATTTAACGCATCATATCACGTACCTCGTTGTGAGGCTGTCCATACAGCTCTTCTAGCTGTCCTTCCAGGATAAATACGTTATAATCCCAGTTTCTGAAAAATGCAAAGAATCGTTAATCACGGTGCGGTCTGCAGCATAAAGCGAAATGTTGTTTATTCTCACTCTGCCCTTAAAGTAGGTACGTTGTCGGTTCCTGACCATGTTGTTCCTGTTTCTTGCTCGCAAGCTGCTTTCTCGAAACTGGCTGTCGTGACCACTCAACACAATTTCGCGAATATATGATTACCTGGACAGAATGACAAGATAATTTTGCGTAATCGTTTGCGGTGTTCAGCATCCGTCCGATAAGCGTAGCTTGGGGTTTACATACCCTGTCCTTCCTGCTGAAAACTATTTGAGAAATATATATGTTTTGTATCCAACTGCTAGTATTCCTCTGAAGTGATATATGCAGTGTCCCGTACACTTATCGAGGGGGACTGCTGTATCCGTTTGTCCACAATCACCACGATTTTCTCAACATTTGGTAGCAATTCATTTGTAATATCTGTACCCTCAGTGAGCTGCGGCAATCCAAAATTAATTCGAGAATATAAAATTACTTAAGTAGATAAATACGTAGAATATACTTTGTTGGAAATTCTGCCAAATAATGCAGTTCAGCCGTGCATACATGCGGCTATAAAGTAGAATTGTTTTAATTGGGACACCTCTAAAAATTTTTACAAAAGCTACAGAACGGAATCGGTACTGGTGGTGGTGGAGATAGGTAGCATTGCATGAAAGAGGAACATCTATTTGTATTAACGAACGAAAAAAAAAAAGCTTGTACCGAACGCGAGCTCTGACAGTTTGGGTAGATAGAAAAACTAACCATATCTTCCGAAAGGCAAACCTTAGAAGTTGTAACGAGGCTTTAGGTGCTCAAGGATGCGGCGTAACATCCAGCCATCACTAGGTGTAATTGTAACAGAGCTAGACCCCATCATGATGGACGGAGGGAAATTCTTCGGCTTTTGCTTCGCGGTGTAGAAATCCGGGTGCCCGAATCCATGTCCGATTTCGTGTCCCACCACCAGGATGTTCTTGTTTTGAAGGGTTTGCAATATTTCCTTCGAACTTACTTCCTCACCCCAGTCGAATCCGAAAGCGTAGCCGAAGTCTAGATCTTGATTGAGCCGGAATGAAACGTCGAACGGCTCCCCTTCACAAGCACTCGTGTCTGACCACATGTTGTTCCCGTTGTCGTAGTATCGGTGGCACTCATCTGGGCATTTGGGCGCTTTTTCCGAGGGATCAATAATTCCTTCGTAGATTTTGCCTAGAGAATCGTCCGTCCATTCGAACTGAGACACGTCCTTCGCAGCAAAACTCACCACATTGATCTTGACCTCCTCAAACGGCCAGCAGTTGTAGCCAACTAACCACTTGTTCCACTCGTTGTAGTGACGTTCCAGCAGGCCCTGGAACTTCGACGCCGCAGATTTGGACAGTTTGGCATCGCTGTCCCAGCGGACACAGTAGTTCATTGAGCCATTGTTGTGCACAATGTGATCCATGAGCCAGTTCTTGCTGGCCATGACGTTCCAATTGGCGGTGTCCGACAAATCCGCCTTCGGTCCGATGCGGTTCTCCCAAACCCACGTCAAAGCCTCAGCAGTAATGTACTCGTTGGGGTTGCCGGTAACACACTCGCCGGGTTTGGAGGTGATGTCTCCGAAAGTGGGCACACTACTGCTGTAGTTTGAGGTTGTTTCTGCGACAACCGGCGTTCCGTCTTCGTCATAGAATCCTATAGCAGTAGACCCATCGGTATTCGTGTATTGTTGTTGCTGTTCTTGCTGCTGTGTCGAGGCCTGGGCTGGCGCTACTGTGCTTACTGCCGCTGAGGCTCGCGTGGAGGTCGACAAAGCGATAAATGTCGCCACAAGAAGTGCAATTGGACTCGTCGCCTTCATCTTGAAAAACGAAAAGTGATCGAATGGAGTGAGAGCGAAATTTGTGGTCGGTCCAAAATGCACACTGACATGGAGGTTTTAGATCGTACTTAGCAGAAGTATTATGCACACAGCAGATTACGTTTTGGACAAATCCGTATTCATTCATTACTAATAAAATTTGTGGAGCCTGGGTTACTTAGATTCATGTGTTGGCTCAGTTTGCACGACGTCGGACTCTGACTCAGAGATGATGTCGATGGACGATCGACGAATAGTCGTCAATCGTGCGTCGACGATCGAAAGCAATTCGTTGTACCATTCCTCACTTACAAATGTTGCAAATTCATTAACAGATATGTTCTGTTAGTTTTGTTTTTCTTATTCTACTCTTCGCTACTACTTCCCTTCCTGTCGTGCGAGATTAAGAACTTCCTTATAAGCACAACTCAGCTAGCCCAGAATGCATGGTAGATGGAGGGATATGATAGAGTTGAATAGTAGTGCAGGGGTTACCCTTCTAGAGCTTCTTCAACTAGACATGTTCTAACTAAACATCAGAGCAGTTACGATGTGGTGTGTGTTCTCCTTCAAAAGAGAAGACCGGTTTGGTAAACGTGATGAATTAAGGCATTCCATTTGGTTCAGTAAAAGTTAAAACGAGTATTAATATCAAATGATAGAACTAGGGACCGACCTGCAAATTGAATCGACGAAGGTGGTGCTAAATACGTCTTGCGTGGTGGGTGTTGGCCACCGTGGACAAGGTCCCGGAGCGCGTACTCAACCAATTCACATAAGAATACAGTATCCATAGCACATCACAATCATAATCTTGTCAAGAACGTTGAAGAGTTTCTTGAAGACGGTAAAAATCATGCTCAGCGTACGCTGTGACGATTGTTAGGTTGCAGCGTATGGTGGGCATCGTAGCGTTGCAACAACCTGCGCCCAAACGGAATACAGTAGCGCACCCACATACCTTTGAGTAGAGGTGATGCTTTGGTCTGGGAGGACAGCGAATCTTACCAATCAGAATTGGGACATTTTAAGTTTCCTATAATGTTCAAAAGTTGATTTGATGTTACTAAACAAACTGAGGTGTGCGGGTGGAAGCGCATGTAGCCAAAGCAAACCGCGAGGGGTGACCTCGAAGCAGGACCGCGCGGTCTTAACGAAGGCAAGCACAGCGCATAACTCCGCTTCGAGCCGCGCATTGCATAGACAAGGTGCGAAAATCGTTTTTTTAAGGTGATAATTGAACATCTTTAGCACTTGTGTCGAAAAATCTGTGTAGGGTTTGTTTACTACAGTATAGTATGGTCATTGCATGCGTAGGACTGACTAACCAGACTTTGAAACGGTTGCCTCTTACAGCTATTCTCAAAATGTGCTTAAGACTTCAACGTGCTTCATTAAGATCGCTTCTTATTAAAATAAAACAGCCACGGTGACGGCTCGTCGAATGTGTACGCAGATGCAGCGGCTTCAAAACAGACGAAGGAGATGCGTTAATAAATACTTGCGCACCAGCGTCACTCTTGCGGGTGAACACAAAATAGCTTTGTAAGAAGAATATTACAGCCTTCTGTAGCCCTATATTGGTTGGGGTTATTTTCGCTGGAGAGACGAAGTGACATTAAAAAAAAATGTTAACGTACGCCACATCGCTTCTTCATACAACTTTGCGAAGGCCGCAAGTCGCCAATACACAAACATGATTCGGTCGTTTAGCCAAATTTTCTTTAACAACTATGGTTAGGCTGTTCAGACAGCCAAAGTTGTCTTCGCAGTATAAATTCCTGGATGTCATGATCCTCTCGCCCAGTACCCTAGAGTTGCATGCTAAACTCTGATGTAATTAAATGTAAAATGGAAATGCTTTCATGCAATGCACTAAAGTAAAATGCTGATGGATAACTTTCATTCAAGCTATTGTAATGTCCGTTGCGATAAACCGCGAGCTCATGATCCCACCCTTAGTCTTCATCGTTTCACATCGAGAAGTATCCGGGTTTCATAGAGTCTAGAGTTCATAATCATCCAACACTCCATGGATTCAGCTTTGGAGATCTTCCAATGAAGGCGACGATCGACTTGGTAATTGAACCGTCGCTATGAGTTCTGTCAACGAGGCGTGCTCTACTTACGGGTCTCGAGTAAACACGTAGGTCAAGATGGAATGGTTGGCTGCGACTAGATCATGCCATGTTGACCAATACGAAAATAGCCGAGCTAAACGGTAACGGAGGAAGACAAACGAGGTGACTGTGACAATGACAACGGTGGCTTTTAGTGGTGCTGTGGAAACCCGCATTGATCGCTTCAGGAAAGGGGGGGGCAACAAATCTGGGCGGTGCGTTTAGCAATTCATGTAGAGTTACGATGTAGAACCAAAACTGTCACAGTCAAACAAAGAAGATCTCTAGTAAGTGCCGTTTAAATGAATTCGTAACTCAATATCTCAATACGAGGAATCCACGATCCGGTAATAACGTCTGGAGTATTGCGCAGACGACCTGCCGACTAGAGCAACAACAGCACGAACAACACCGTGCCGGCACCCGATATCGCCCGCGCCTACCGACACCCGACAGACACGTTATTCTTCACGGTTGTAATCAAACACCGTGTAAAACGCGGACTTCGTCATCAAGCACCAAGGATTGGCGCAGTGGGGCTTGTGGGTGATGCCACACGACGCGCCCCATCAGGAAAGAACTAAGCTATTAATACTCTCACTTCGCAATCTACTTTGCAACGGGCACAACGTCATATAACGAGTCATTGAGGTTTCGATTTTCTCGCCATCGCGTTAAATCACTATCTAGATGAATACGATTTAAGTTTTGAATTCGTAATGGATCCAATTAGCATCTACCAACTCTCGATGCGCACTCATCTACAAGACAATTGCACTACTAAGCAAAAAAAAGAAGGAAAAAAACAACTGGCTAGAACTAGGGCATACAATGTAAGAAAGACTGATTTTATACGGAAAAGGTCTGGACTAGGCTTCAGTCGAACCGTAACAGCATTTGTTTGGAAATTAAAACAAAATGAAGCATAGTGTTACTCATTGGCCCCGTTTTGCAAGCGTTCGCGTCAAGTGCGCATGCGTCGTGTGGACTCAGTTTAGCGCTGCATGGACCTTGTTGTTAGCGGAAAGAGTATTGATGATCCCCGAATAAAAGTATCATACTTCGACGCCATTGTAACACCCTTCGTCCATTCCACTTGCTTAGCCGCAGTACGCGGAACCGTCGTTGCCGGGACGGCACACCTGCGGATTCTTGCACGCAGGGTAGCACCCCAGGTCTTCGGCAGCGGCAGCACCGACAGAAGTCGACACTAGCAAGGTGGCTACCGCAATACTGAGGATGAGCAAGAGCTTGGGCATGATTGAAGGTTGCGTAGCGCTGGGGGTATCGAGGTGAAACACGGAGTGGTTGTCTGCAGCGATCAGAACAACGGACCGGCGGCCTTGGTCAGCACTTCTCGTGGCTTGTATCAAGCTGCAACCAGCAGGATAACCGTCGGGATTGTGCCGCTAGTAAGCTATCAATGATAATGCTACACTTTAGCTTACGATAATACAAGTACTGCATTTGGCCAATCCGCAAGCATATAGGTTAGCTTTGCATCTCCCTGATGGAATGTGGCGATCCCGTCGATCTGGATACTAGTATGACCAGAATAGCTGATGTGTATAGCGAATGCGGTGAAGACGGAAAGAACATGCGGGTAAAATAATGGAAACTACATCCAACACTAATTGCTGTGGTTTGAATAATACACCTACTGAAAGTACTAATAAGTAGTAAGGGCGACGGTCAACTGCACCTTGATTTTTACTGGTGTCAAACAAACAAGGAAGATACTTATTAGAAGTAATCTAGTTCTGACTTCTGAAAAAGGCTGAAACGTGAGTAATATATGTGATTTTAAGGCTCATTCAATACTCTGAACGAGTTGATCGCTGCACAGCTACATGAACGTCTAGGATAACAAGACACAAGGCGTGAGTTGTGATAAAGAGACCTAACATTTATGTTTTACTTCCAGGAACGATTACAAAATATAAACATGGTAAATTCTGTTTGAAGGCATCCGAAGTCAAAGTACTCGTGAGTATGGATGAATATGTTAGATTATCGGACCATACTTGAACTTTGTATGGTGAAAATTTGCCAATTAACTACCAACATTTAATTTTAGCCAATCACAGCTAATAACAAATGTATATTTAGCCAATAGGACAATGTAAGTGTAGGTGAGTCACCTAAACCGCCCAATCGGACGTATCAAGTCCGATGAACTCCTAAAATATGTGTGTGTTCATTCAATTGTCAAGTATTAGGCATATCACTTTCAAATTTCTCTTTATCCGACCGTCATGATGGGTTTGGAGAAGTTGCAGCCCGGTAACACATTGCGTACCAAGGCAACTGCTGTCGCAGCATTCTCCAAGTTTTGAAGGGTGAGGAAGTTGAAGAGGAACATGTAAGAAAATGTATTGAGGCAGATGAAAGTGGCAAGAGCTTTGTATGTGTCATGGATAAGTTTGGAATGTATCTTGCGTTTAGTGAAGGAAAGAAGGGCAAACTGCCTGCGCGAAACACATGGAGAGGGGATTCTTTGCGATGACCTTGGGATTTATGGCGTCGGTGAACTCGAGGAAGGAGAGCCCTTGAGGATATCCATAGGCGTCTATCTTCGCCGGGTTAAGGGCGTTCTCTAGCGTAGCCTCGTACCGGGCATGATCCTTATCATGGAGGACTACAAGATCTTCGGCAATAGGTCCCTGAGGCTGTCGTCCTCCGCGTGGAGACTTGCCGGGCTGGCCTCCGAGCCAGAACATTTCTGGACGCTTCTCCAGCTTCTCGAGGAACGCGTAGAAGCCCCACGTCTCGATGCACAGGCTCGTAAAAGTCAGGCGAGCATGAGAAGCTCGCATTTTGAGCTTGCGGCGATTAGACTGGGCTGAGGTCGTCTCGAGGGGGGCGTGGAACGCCCACTCCCAGAAGGCACGTCTGTGGGTCATCCAGAACCGCCAGTGAGCGCGATGAATGTCTTGATTCTCCGCTGGGTCATACCAAAGGGGTCGGCCCGACCAGGGGTACGCCAGACGCCAAGGGACTTTGCCGGCTTCTTCAGCCTTGTGGAGAACAATGGCGATCGCGGTTCGTACGACCCGAGGAGCGTTGGGATTCACGTCAATCAGCTTGGCGTAGTCGTATGAAGGAAGCGTCAACTTCTGGGAAGAGCGCAGCTTCTTGGCGGACGACTTGGAGGCGGTGTCGCCGGCGCTGGCCTTCCGTTTGGAGGACTTCTTGGACGGCGTAGCTGGTCTCTTGCCCGAAGACTTGGTGGATGGCTTAGACGGAGTTGCAGCTCTTGGAACGCCGGATGCGGCTGGCTGGGTCACAACCGGGGGTGCGGCACTTGGAACACCAGGCGCAGCTGGCAAGATCACGACTGGACCTTGGAGGCTGACATTCGACTTGCCTTGGAAGATGTCTTCGACGAGTTGGTCAAGATGAGGAAGGCCCGTAGACATGCCGTTAACCCCGAGATGTACACATATCTCGTCCCAGAGTTGCCGCCTGAGAGCGTCCGCGTCGTCGGAGGAGGGACCGTGTTCTTCGCGGTCGATGGCTGCGTCAAGGAAGGCGCGGAACCGCTTCAGCTCGGCGGCGGTGAACCTGGACGTCATGGCGGTTGCGTAGGTCGAAGCAAATTCGTGGACTGAAGGGTCCCATGTTGAGGGAGGATGATGGCTGCCGGGGGGTACGCCAGGGGTACGCCACCTGCGAAGGGACGTTGAAGTGGAACGCGATGGCGGGAACTGACCCCGAGCGAGGGGGCGCCTGGTGGGACACCTGGACTGGCTGTGGACGGCAGTTGGAGGTCCACTAAGGGAACTGACAAGCGATGGAGAAGTGGCGAGCATGGGCCGAAGCAGCCGAACTGAGGGAGGTGGCTGGAGCAACTAACTACTGGGTGCTCATTATTAGCGCTGTCGCTGGCATCGTGGTGTGGGTGGTAACCACTCCGTTGAGGAACGTCTCGTGGGCGTTCCTAGACAGCGTCGCTGACAACGGAAGGGCAGTCTACTTCTTCACGTACAACTGTGGTGACAGGTACCTCGAAGCCGCGCGGAACGCGAACGCTTTGGCACTACCTCCATTGGAGTATGCGTGTGCTCTGATCTCATTGGCGTTCCTGATTCCCATTGCTGTGCTGCAAGATTACGAGGCACGATTTGGGATAACGGGACGATTGTGCTTGAGATGGTGTGAGGCGTTCCACCACTCTTGCTGTTTGTTCGTACCAGACGCAGTGCAATTGCTCTGGGTGTCTACCGGCAAGTACGCCCGAGCTACAGGGGAAGCTACGGTGGCTGTAATCGAGAGGACTGGCGATTTCCTAATGGGCATCTACTTAGCTGCCTCGTTGCTGTTATCTCTGTTGGTGTACCTGCCGCGACTGGTGTATGAGAGTGTAGAAGGCGTGTTAGGAGGGCCGCTTGGCGTTGTTTTGGCGGTGTTTATGGTGGAGGTCTATTTCGAATTCGCAAGGGAAAGCTGTTACTGGAGTGTCTCGGTGCTGGTAACTGGTTGTTACAGCCATGGGCTACGTTATTACTGGACGTGTCGCCCCTGTAGGAAGACCGGGCTCGGATCTAATGCGAAACAAGGGTGGAATGGACTTACTAGACGTATAGGGCGACGTGAGGAGAGGGAGCGCGCCAGCCTGGAGCGTCTACGTGGTACGCCGAAGAAAGGAACGCCGACGAAGATTCAAGATGGGGGCGCTAAGCCTGATGGAACGCCGACGTGTGGCGTTCCGGAAGTGATTGCTGGTGAGACCGTGCAACCGGCAGTGGAGGGAACGACTCGGCGAGGGCGCCGAGGATCGGTCGGGGAGAATTGTCACGGTCTACAGCTAGAAGGAGGTCTCGCCATTCTCGCGGACTGCATCCAGAAAGTCTGCTCAATACAGGGCCAAAGAGCTACATCCGACAAGACGGGACAAGAGGAGCAGACGTCGGCGTTCCACGTCTAGAGTGGGACCTGGAG